CAAGAGTTGGTGGTGGATGGTGATGAATAACTGCCTTCTCTCTAGTCTTACACTGCTAAATTAGGGATGGCTAGCACAGATAGCCCTTTTGTAGCTTTGTACAAAATTCATAACAAACCAAACTCTTCATACTGAACATTTACGTTTCTTATGTCAAAGCAATTTTTATTGAATTGAATCTTAATTTTGATTTATCATTAATTAAATGCAATCACACATGATTGAGACATTATGTTATCCTTTAATACTTAATTTCAAAGTTAATTTTTTGTATATTAATTTTAACAAAAGTTTCTTCCCATTAAAATATGAATAAGTGATTATTCATCATACTAGCAATATTAAACTATTTGAATTTAGGAAGGTATATCACTAAAGTGATCCAAAATATCATCCAACTTAAATTATCAAGCAAGTTGTCCACGTAACTTCTCTTCCAAAGTTTTTATTAAATTATAAATTATTGTTGAAAATTTTTCTGAAACTACATGATCTTATTAAAATAAGTTTAGGCTTACCTACTTGAGTTTCAGTGAGTAATGAGCTGAGTATGCTAGTGCTGGATGATTAATGGAAGTTGCTAATTGATTAATTGTTGTACTTATTAATTGGTTACATTCAACTGATTGGTTATTCACACAAGACTTGAATAGTTTGAATAATCAAAAATAGTCATATTCAGAAACAGTAATTTCGATTAGTTGATTATCTCGTGAATCATGACACTATTAACTTATGTTGAACAACCTTGAATTAATTGAAAATACTAATGAGAAATCATAATTACAATATTTTGATTAGTTGGGAAGTTGGAATAATCAAAAACAGTAACAGTCAGCAACAGTTATTTCAATTAGTTGATTATTTTTGTGTGTAATGAATTGTCATAATTTTGATTGTTTTACATGACACTGATCATTGTAATTAATATCCATAGGTAATTGATTATTTTAATTAATGAAGTTAATCACTTATGTCTAAAGTAAACCAGTGTCTTCAACTGATCTCAATATATATATATATATATATATATATA